GGAAGGGTGATGGCTCCTATCTTTTTATCCCCAAGAATTGCTTCAACTATTTGTGGGGGCTTATTGTTCCATATGCAGTTCAGAAGTGTTTGGTAAATTTTTTCAAAGAATGTCATGGGTATCCTTATAGGAATCACATTGAATCTGTATAATGCTTTGGGGAGTATTGCCATTTTAACAATGTTAATTCTCCCAATCCATGAGCAGAGGATGTGTTTCCATTTCCTCATGTCCTCTTTTATTTCTTGAAGTAATGTTTTGTAGTTTTCTTTGAACAGATTCTTTACCTCCTTAGCTAAGCTGATTCCAAGGTACTTGATTTTCGAAGGCATGAGTGTGAATGGGATTGCTTTTTTTTTTTCATATCACTATATTCTCTCTCATTATTTGAATATAGAAAAGCCATGGACTTAAGCACATTGACTTTACTGCCTGCAGCTTTCCAAGACTATTGTTTCTAGAAGCTTCTTGGTAGAAGCTTTAGGATTCTCTAAGTATACTTTCATGTCATCTGCAAATAGTGAGAAATTGATTTCTTCCTCTCCTACTGGCCTACTGGTTGTCCTTAATATCTTTTTCTTGCCTAACTGCTATGGCAAGTACTTCCAGTACTATACTGAATAGAAGTGGTGAGAGTAGGAATTCTTCTCTTGTCCCTGATCTTAGAGGGAAGGCTCTGAGTTTTTCCCCACTAAGCATAATGCTTGCCGTGGGCTTGTGGTAGATGGCTTTGACAATACTGAGGAAAGTTCTTGAGAGTTTTCATCATAAACAGGTGATGGATCTTGTCAAATGCTTTCTCTACATCTACTGATATAATCATATGGTTTTTATCTTTTCTTTTGTTGATATGATGGGTTATATTGTTTGACTTCTGAATGTTAAATCATCCTTGCATCCCTGGGATGAAGCACACTTGTTCATGGTGTATGATCTTTTTGATGAATTGTTGGATTCTATTTGCAAATATCTTATTAAGGATCTTCACATCTGTGTTTATCAGAGATATTGGCCTCTAATTTTCTTTCTTTGTGGTGTTTCTGTTTGCTTTTGGTAATAGCATGATATGTGCCTCATAGAAACTGTTTGGGAGAGTTTCTGTTTCTTCAATTTCCTGGAATAGCTTATAAAGGACTGACAATAAGTCCTCTTTAAATTTTGGAAGAATTTGCTAGTGAATCTATTTAGACCTGGGCTTTTGTTTTGGGGAAGACTTTTCATTATTGTTTCAATTTTTTTGATAGTGACAGGTCTGTTCAGATATTCCAAATCTTCTTGGCTCAGCCTTGGAAAGTTATAGGAATCCAGGAATGTATCCATTTCTTATAAGTTCTCTTGTTTCATGGCATACAAACTTTCAAAATAATCTGATGATCTTTTGAATTTCTTTGGTTTCTGTTGTGATGCCCCCTTTTTCATTTCTGATTTAGTTTATTAGGGATCTCTCTCTCTCTTTCTCTCTCTTTCTCTCTCTCTCTTTGTGAGTCTTGCTAGTGGTTTATCAATCTTCTTTATTATCTCAAAGAACCAGCTCTTGGGATGCTGGGAATCGAACCCGAGTTGGCCGCATGCAAGGCCTACCTGCTGTGCTATTGCTCCAGCCCTCAAGAATATTTTTTAAAGATTTACATATTATAGTTTTATTTTTGTTTTATCTGAAAACTTAGATTTCATCTAAATCCTTTTGTTTTGCTATTTCTCCCTTAATAACCCCACCAAATAAAATAGAAACTACAACAATGATGTGGTGTTTAACTGTGTAGGGAGTGGACTATAATTAATTGATTTGTTCTGTCTTATGAGAAAACTATTTCTAGTCTCAAGTATTTCTTGTTGCTAAAGCAACTTAGACATGACTAGAAGGCCTCATTTCAAATGTCTCACAAAGGTAAAATCATCATGTCAAATCTGATGTTCTGGATATTCTTCCAGAATCAGAAAAAAAAATAGTTATATGGAACCACATCATCATCATCATCATCATCATCATCATCATCATCACCACCACCACCACCACCACCACCACCGTCATCATCATCATCATCTTCAGGTAGCAATATAAGTAGTCTGATAAGATTTAAAATATCTGCACTGGTGAATCAGTCTATTGTAGATCGTACATTAATAATTTAGCATTTTATTGATCAAACTTACAGAACAATCAGATTGTTAAAATTCAAAATAAATTAGCAATAATGAAAACAACTTAAAAATTATATGCCTGCATGGGGGACAGAGACAGGTAGAGACAGTTGACAGATGCATAGGTAATTTAATAATGACAAAAATTAAAGAGTGTAAATTAAATCACAGTGATCACGGTCCTCCCGTTGTTCATCGATTTGCTTGAGCAGGCCCAGTAACGTCTCCATCATGAGACTTGTTACTGTGTTTGGCATATCGAATACGTCACGAGTACTTGCCAGGCTCTGCCGTGTGGGCGAGATACTCTCGGTAGCTTGCTGGGCTCTCCAAGAGGGGCGGAGGAATCGAACTCGGGTTGGCCATGTTGGCCGCTTGTAAGGCAAACGCCCTACCGCTGTGCTATCAGAAGAATATGGCTAAGTAAATAAAGGCCACTCTTCTTCATAAGCTGTGATAGCCATCATGTGATTGAAAAAAGGAGCTAACAAATCATGCCTGCTCTTCACTCTTCTGTTCTAAAGATCCTACTTTCTTCTAACTGGATAAAGAAGTTGACTACACCAATGATATATACAATTTTTAATTCTAAAATATAAAATAGTACTGAAAAACTAATCTATTTGATTATCAATTTTTCTACTAAGGCCATTAAAAATATATCTATATTTTAAGAGTTACAACCCTCAAACTTTATTAAAGACAGCAGCATTACTAATGATGTCAAGGTACTTTTTATGAAAACTCTTCACAAATATTACTATGCTTATATTCATAACTGATAACTTGACCAGAGCTATACTGACACTGGGTAGTAACCACCTCCTACAAGTCCATTCTAACCAGTACAAATTTATTCTTGGGTTCTGGCCTATTGTAAAACTTCTGCTCTGGGGACAGGAATGATAGTATAGTAGGTAAGGCCTTGCACATGGCTGAGCCAGGTTCATCCCCAGCATCCCACATGGTTCCCTGAGCACTGCCAGGAATTATTTGAGTGCACAATCAGGAATAGCCCTGAGCATCGACAGGCGTGCCCAACCTCCAACACTCCACAAAAAAATTTTGTTCTGTAGATTTTTAAAATCCGTATCTAAATAAGTTAACAGGCAAGACTGGAGATAAGAAACACTTGGGAAAATTCAAAATACAGCAAGGTGGAAGAAAGCTCATTTTTCACCAGAAAATCTACTAAACAGAGATAAAGCTGGAAATGAGTAAGAAAACTGCTGGTTTCCACTGAAAACCCTTCTAAATAAGGAGTCTAGACTACATTTGGTTGTTACTTCTTTTTCTCCTCCAATGTATATAAATAACTTCTTAGCTTTTTCTTATGCTTTTATGACCAAATATTTTTCTTTTATTTTATTGTTATTATTTTAAAATTCAATCACAGTGAGGTGTTACAAAGTTGTTCATGATTGAGTTAGTTATATAGTGTTCCAACACCCATCCCTTCACCAGAGTACATTTTCCACCATCAATATCCCCAGTTTCCCTCCCACTGCACGCCACACATACACCTGCCTCTATGGCAGCCAATTTTCTCTCTCTCTCTCTTTCTCTCTCTCCCCCTCTTTCTCTACCCCCTTCTGTCTCTCTTCTCTGTCTCTCTCTCTTCTCCCTCTTTCTTTCTCTCTCTTTCCTGTTTCGGGTCTTATGGTTTGTGATACATGTACTGATACAGCAACACTTGTTCCTATCCAAAATGATCATTTTCAACTATTACTGTCATACTGGTCCCTTCTCTGATCTAACTGCCTTTTGCCCCCACTACTGTTGACCCTGACATTTTTGAACAGCAGTGGTTAACTGTAGTTATCTCAGTTGTACAAGGAACCTGAGAATGAGGATATGGGCCGTCAGTCTAGGACAACAGATGCACAAAGACTCATGTGCGTACAATGGCAGAGACACAGTCACCCACACAGACCATAGACTGTAGTCATATGACAAAGTTTATTAGGAAAAGCAATGGTTAAACAGAGGCTGAGAGAATGTGCCTACATGCACTAACCAGCAGGTGGTAAAGAGAGGTAGGGTATTATTAAGACTAGGCAGAAGCTGCTGGAGCACTGTCCTTGATGCTCTCCGGCACAGCCCAGGTTGAAGTATAGCTGACATCCAAAGATGTCTGTTTCCCATGTATCAAACCATTGGTAGCTCAAAGTCAATTAATCTATGTTATTCTTAGAAATGTCAGGTCCCCCTAGAAACAGCCGGGTTCTAAGAGAAGTCAGGACCCAGGGCACTCCCTACAGGCCCAGCGACTTCTAGTGGTGAAAGGGTGTCAGGGAGAACTCCAACAGTCAACCATGCTGCAAATGATCCTCAATTAGGATCTGTCTGGTTTTCTCACGATTGAACTATTAAATATTAGAGTTTCTTTTGCAAGAATGCCACAAGAAGTGATGAACTGCTCAATGCTGAATTCAAGAATTACAATATGCTAGCAAGCCTAATTATTGGATAAGTTAATCTAATCTCAGCAAAGGGGCTGTCTGCTAGGTCTCTACTAAACCTTACATCTGGAAAAAAGTTCTATTTTTCTCTTTGTAATAAATTCCAGGGGAGATGCACTTTGAGTCTATATTACTATACCATTTTTCCTAAAGCTTTTATACAATATAGCTAGCACCCATTGATCAATTTTGTTTGATTAATGAAGCATTCATATAAATTTCTAAAGGGAAATAAAGTGCATAAAATAGAGTAGTCAAACTGCTGCTGATAATAAACATCTAACTTTACAAATGCAGTATTTTACTGTATAGGCAAACTTTGAAAAAGCTATTTTTGACATGTGGTCAGTTAATATTAATCAACCAGGAATACAAAATAATTGAAATGTTACTTACATAACTATGGCTTTTAAAGAAATCTGATGGACTATTTGTGAGGACTTTGTCTCCTTCCAAACCAATTACTCTTTTACAAATATTAGCTTTTGGGTCATTTGGACTTTTTGCAATCACAATGTCACCTCTGAGGGAGAAAAAAAAAATCAAAGTATCACTTATTTCCTAAGTATAAACATATGCATAGCAATCTTGAAATACTTTCATAAGAAAACATAAATAAGGTCATATACTTTATCTCCTCATAGTCTAAGCCTTTCAACATTTTCACACATTCCATAGCAGCTTCGGGAAACTTTGTGAGCAACCTTAGTGGTTTCAAAATTCAAGGAATGTAATTTTTATTTGTTTTTTGGCTATTTAGGTTATACTTGGCGCTGTTCAGGTATTAGATGCCAGGGATCGAAACCAGGTTGGCTCTGTACAAGGAAAATGCCCTATCTGCTGTGGCCCCTATCACTGTAACCCCAAGGAAAGTAATGTTTAGAAAAGCTATTAGTATATTCTATAGCCATTGAAATGCCAGCCAGCTTTAACAAGATTACCAGGATGGGGCCCCAGGCCTCTGAAACAATGCTTGAGAACCCCAACCCCCCCCCCCCCCCACATACAAAATTAAGACAAAGTAACAAGTCTGAATTTTCCTCAAGTGTTCTGTGCATCTTACTGAAAAGAGACCTAGATGTTCATTTTGCCTAAATTGCAAGATATTTATTCTCTGATAGTTTTAGAAACAGGAAGCTTAAAAAAACCTCTTGACAAGGATCAGAATTCTGTACTAAAGAGATAAAAGAAAAAAAACTCAGAATATAAATATTTTGAAGTAGAGATTATTAACTACCTTCATTGTAAAGTGACTCTGGTATGTCTCATATATGCCAAATGTTGAGGAATCCTGCAACCTAAGGAAATTCCTGATAGACTATAAATAAAATAAGACCTTAATTTGCTGAATATAGCCATTGAAATTCATCTAAATGCTACACTCAGCATTTTATTTGAATGCAGAGTAGCTTAAAAGACAATATTGAGCTATTCATTAAAAAAACCAGAAAACTGTGAAGTTTAGATTCCTCTTAATTAATTAATTAACCTCATTAATGAGAAAAATCATAATAAATAAGATTCTTGGTTCCCGACATAAACAGTGCTATATCAAAGACTGTAATAAATGCTTATAGTGAATAAGACCACCCTCAATACAAATACAATTTTTTATTGATGTAAAATATTTTTATTTTTTTATTTTTTATTTTGGTTTTGAGGGTAACACCCAGCAGTACTCAGGAATCACCCCTGACAGGGATTGGGGGAACTATACGCAGTGTTGGGGATTAAACCCAGGTTGGTTATTTGAAGGCAAGCACTACCTACTGTACTATCTGTGTCTCATATAAAATTATTTTAAAAAATTAGCTCCCCTCCTTCTATTTCCAGGGCATTGAGACACAGTGGTAAGAGAACATGCCTTGAATGCATGCAACCAAATTGGACTAGATCCCCAAAGGTCCTGCCACTACCAGGCCCAAGCACTAAACTCTCAACCTGCTTTCCTAAATATTGATGAAATGGTTGCCTGAGAACAACTTGTGAGGTCTATAAAAAACAAAATACACAAAAACCAAATCCCTGATTTGGGTATGTAATATAGATCCTAATTCCTTAGATCTTGACAATATATTCTAGGACCATTGGCCCCAGCTCCTCAAAAAAAAGTAACAGGTTTAAATGTACAATATAAATGGGTCAGCTATTTATTTGGGACAATGATATAAGGGACATAAAGCCCCAAAAATATCCTGCTCAGAAATATACTTCAAACAACTGATACAGAGAAAATGTTAAATCCAAAATTTAATATAGGTGATCATTAATATAGATATTTACAATGTATTTTTTAAATATAAAGTTAAGAAAATTGGAGCACTATAGCACTGTCCTCCCATTGTTCATCGATTTGTTCGAGTGGGCACCAGTAATGTCTCCATTGTGACATTTGTTACTGTTTTTGGCATATCGAATACATCAAGGTACCTTGCCAGGCTTTGCCGTGCAGGCAGGATACTCTCGGTAGCTTGCGGGGCTCTCCGAGAGGGTCGGAGGAATCGAACCTGGGTCAGCGCATTCAAGGCTAATGCCCTACCTGCTGTGCTATCACTCCAGCCCAACAAGTCTCACAACGGAGACTTTACTGGTGCCTGCTCGAGCAAATCAATGAACAATGGGAGGACAGAGCTACAGTGCTAAAAAAAAATTAAGAAAAGAAAAAGCAACTGTTATTTAAGTTTTCATCATAGAAAAAAATTTACCTTTGGATACCATAAAAATGTCGACTAAGATTTTCTGCAAAGACAACATCTGAATTTTGAATGGTAGGCTCCATTGATGGTCCAGAACACTAAAAAGAGAGGTAATTTGTAATATGTGCACAAAACATTTTAAAGTTTAACATAAGCAATATATATGAGCAGGCTTAAAAGAATTAAGCAAATATTCTTTAATCCTGAAGGCTGCTCCTAACTGCTCCCAGATTGCAATTCCCAGATATTTTCAACTCCATCAAGTGACAAAGAAAAAAAAATATATTACGAATAGTTTACTGGGAATGCATTATGAGTAAAAAGACATTTTTCCAAATATCGGCAGTCTGTAGAATGTAGGATCATACAAGCAAGAACCATGTCTCTTATCCCCAGTTATGTAATAACAAAGACTAAAGAACTGTGCTCTGACATAAAGTTGCCCCAAAACTATTTAATAAATCAATTGTAATTGTAAAGTACCCCGTACCCACAATAGTAATTTATTGTTACCAGACTTTCTCAATGCCTAGCCCTTTTTTTGCAAAGATACTTAATCATTTGTGTAACTATAACTTGCTTTTCTACAGAAAAATGCTGGTGTAATGGCATACACTGTTAGACTTTTCATACCAGAATATCATTTATACCTCAAAACTATACTAATTGATCTCTGCCAGCTTAAAAATATAAATACAATTTTCATTTACTCTATTAAGATTTAAATTTCTACTCAGATCTTTCTACTTGGACAGAAACACAGGTAACACAAGGAAAATTTATATTTGCTACCTTAGTAGCTACTGGAAGACTCATATAAATTTAAAAGAACTTAAGAAGGAATTTCAATTAAATATATTTATTTGTATTACTGCTGCACAACGTGTGGTTACACAATTATCAACTTGTTAGAGTAAATCTGATTTTTTTTTATAAATACCACCACCGCTCAACTCAATGCCTGGTAGCAGGTGAGGCATTTGCCTTGGATATGGCTAATCTCACTTGTATCCAAGGGATCACATATGGTCCCCCTGAAATCTGCTCCGAGTGATCCCTGAGAACAGCGAGGTATGGCCCAAAAAAGAAAAAGAAATTCAAAAGTCACTACACTAATCATTAAATCACTTATTATTTCATATACATGTTCAAAGGTTAATAAAGGCATGTTTGATAAATTCATCATGTAATATTAAGAAAAAAACATTCATAGGAGGGCAGCCTTACATTTTAAATGTTAACACCAGACAAAATAATCATTGGTTTTAATGGCAGTTAAGACCCAGAATTCAAAAAGAATGCATTTTGAAAATTTAAGAAATCTGTTAAAATTCAAGGTCTCTGATTTACTGAGGGACTTAGAGTAATTTACATATATCTTCTGAGTTTCAGCTTCCATATACATATATAATGAATTTCTATTAAGTACCTCATATCATATGAAAGATTAAATGGGTTCTTTAATGTAAAAATATCAAGCAAATAGCAGCACTTGATAAATGTTAAAAAGTACTATTATTGATTGCTAACAGAACTTTCTGTGCCCATCAAAAACAATGCAGAATTGTAAATAAAACTATTTTCTTATATTTTATTTTGGTACTAACTCAAATACATTTTTATATCCCAAAATTTAGATTTCAACTTTTACTAATTTTATAATAAAACGACAAATCTTGAACATAATAACTTACCATGACAATACCACCAACGTATTCAAAAGCACAATGAGCTATACAGCCATACTGGATAGTATAGCCAATAAGTCGAAAGGTTTTTCCCAGAGTTCCACGAAGCATAGTTCCTTGCAGATTCTGCCACCATTAGCCTGATGGTAATTTCAAAAAGTTTCACAATTACACTATTTAATAAACATTGATGAAATACTCTATTTATGAAAAATTTTTGCTCCAAAAACTAGAAACTGAGCTTTTATAAAACCCAGCAATACCAACTCTAGGTATATATCCTGGGGCCCATAAACATATAGCAGAAATGTCACCTGCACTTCTATGTTCATTGGAGCACAATTCACAATAGCAAGATCTGGAAACAATCTGAGTACCAAAGAACAGATGACTGGATAAAGAAACTATGGTACATCTACACAATGGAATACTCAGCCATCAGGAAAAATTAAGCCATGAAATTCTCATATAAGTGGATGGACGTGGAGAGTAAACATACTTACTGAAATGCGTTAGTGGGAGAGGGACAGACATAGAATGATTGCACTCATTTATGGAATATTAAAAAAAGAAAAAAACCAAAGTATGAGATTAATACCCAAGGACAGTAGAAATAAGGGCCAGGAGGACTGGCCCAGGGTTAGAAGCTGAGTGGTGAGATGGGAGGGCATTTAGGATAGGGAAGAAACCACATTGACAATAATAGTTGGAAACAATCACTCTGAACAAGAGATGAGTTTTGAAAGTAAGTAAAGGAACAAATCTGTACTGCAAACCTTAATGTAAGGAGGGACAGAAGGGAAACCTGGGGACACTGGTATTGGGAAATATGCACTGGTGAAAGGGCAGGTATTGAAACATTGTATGACTGAAACCCAATCATGAACAACTTTATAACTGTATCTCATAGCGATTCAGTGAAAATTGAAAAAAAAAACTTTTGCAGCAATCATCCACAATGTTATATCAATATAGCTCTAAATACAGAAAAATTATCTTTTTTTCTTAATTTCTACGGAAGATGTTTTAAATGTGAATGCCAATTAATGTTTTGATTCCCCAAGACCATAGAGTTCTCCAGATATAAAAGGAAGTTTGACCTGTAAGCATCATGCATCTCCCCCCCCCCCCCAAAAAAAATCAGTTTTACATATGAATTAGATAACTAGTAGATGTTAAACTTGTTTGATCCTTCTGATGCCTTGGTTACTGTCTGGTATTAATTGGCAGATACTAAGGAAAGCTATTAATGCAAAGCATTATAATTGCTATATACTGATGAGTTCCTAGAGCATAAAGGAGGCTATCCTAAATGTATAAAAATTCAAGTTTTATAATTATTCTTTTATTAACTCTTGTATCTTCAATTAGTAACAATTTCTCTGGGCTGTAATAAAATGGAAATGACAGTAACTCACAACATTGTTCTGAAAATCAAATTGAACAGTATATGTCAAAGCACTTTGAGAACTATTGTAATATTAAGTCATAAGCTATTAATGAATACATGAATGTTATGAAACAGCATAAAGAACCATATAAAGATTCAGGCATTCTACTCTACTGACAAAGAAAATAAAATTAACAAAATAAAGAATTTAGAAATAGATATTGGGATAGATTTATACCTTTGGGGCTGGGATTGGGTCATACCCAGCAATACTTGGGGCTATTACTGGCGGTGTGCTCAGTAATAAGATTACATCTGGCAGTGTTCAGGGGATAACATGCAGTTTGATGCATTGAACCTGGATCAGTTGTGTAAAATCTCTCCAGTACGGCCTGCATGTATAAAGCTCTGAATTCAATCCTTAGCACAAAAAAAAATCGAAAATAAAAAGTAGATTCAATCTCTAGCACCCTAAAAAAAAAAGAAATGGGATAGTATTAAACTAAAATGCTTCAACCTTGCTATAGAAATTATTACTAGAACAAAAAGACATCCTACTGAATGGGAGAAAACATTTGAATAGTAATATCCATGATACATAAGGCACTCACAAAACAACAAAAACAATTATCATCAAGAAAATGGGGGCTGGAGCGACAGCACAGCGGGTAGGGCGTTTGCCTTGCACACAGCCGATCCGGGTTCGATCCCTGGCATCCCATATGGTCCCCCAAGCACCACCAGGAGTACTTCCTGAGTGCAGAGCCAGGAGTGACACCTGAGCTGTGCTGGGTGTGACCCAAAAGGCAAAAAATAAAAAATAAAAAAAGAAAGAAAAAGAAAATGGGAAGAAGTATTGAACAGACATTTCTCCAAAGACGACTGATGATAGGGACCCGAGATATTGCTTATCTAGCAATAGCAAAGTCTCACTCAAATTTGGGGATACAGGCTTATCCAAACAACTACAGTATCACACCATAGTTGCTACCCAAGTTGGCTGAGCTTTGGCTCTGTAACTGTAGCCAGGGGTTACAAATACAAATCAACTTCACAATAGCTATGATCAGTCTGCTGATCAGCTGCCATAGAAAGCAGGTGACAAATTCCCCAATCACTGCTCAAGCCAGTTGGACTTTGACAATACAGAATTTAGCACCACACCAGCTATAAGACACTACTTGAGTACAAATCTCCAGCCAACTTCCAGGTTCACACAACTCAAAACCACAGAGATCAGCTTGATTTTGCAAGTCTGAGATACTGTCACTTAGGGCAGCTCACACTCAGATCCCTACCTCAGAACCCACATAGCACCAAATTAGTGAAGCAGTAAAGGAATCACCCATCAGTGAATGGATGGGACCTAGATAGGTCTTCGAATGCATAACTTTCTAGACTCCCTAAGAATGACTTACAACAATAATGCTATTGTTCATGAAGTAAAGAATCAGTGCAAGGGACCACAGATAACACAAGAAAAAAGGTTTTTTTTGTCTTCAAGTATTTTTACCTGCTGCACTGGGGGCGGTGGGGGTGGGGGAGGGGGGCGCACAACCCTGCATCTGCATGATTGGGCTACATCCAATTCAGTGCTTCAAGAACTCGGTGGTGCCAGTGATCAGCCACAGGCCTCTCACATGCAAAGCCTATGCTTAGACCCTTTGCATTTATTCCCCAGCTTCTCAAAGAAAATTTAGAGGGAAATAATAAAAAATCTCCAAGCAAATGAGTGATTTAAAGAGTATGATTAAGTTAAAAATACACAACAGTTGGCTTGGCAGTAAAATGGATGTAGTAAAAACTCATCAGTGATCTTGAGGAAATAAAAAAAGTACGAGAAAAAAATAATTTTAAATATGAGGGGAAATGTAAGTTTAATTTGATTGCAATGAAAGGAACAACATTCATGTCATAGGAGTTCCAGAAGGAAAGAAGGAAAGGAAAGGCATTGATGGTGAAATAAATAAGAGCTGAGAATCTCCTCCAATCTGTAACAGAAAACATACCTTGAGCTTGAGCTCAAAGAGCTCCAAACACATAAACCCAATCAGAAGAACATCAATACTCATTGTACTAAAATGGCAAGAACCGACGTAGAAAAACATCTAAAAGCACCAAACATATGCCAAAACTCAGACATAAAAGAATCTCCATAAGACTTATAGACTCATATCAGATTTTTCAAATAAACTCTATAGGCTAAAAGGTAATGGTAATGAATAGAACCTCCAACAAGAATCCTCCATCCTCCCATATTATAACTCAGATGTGGATCTTGATTAAAAAAAAACAACACATTTTCACAGAAATAATCACTAAAGACACTCATTGTCACTAAACCAACTCTTCAAGAAATACTAAAAGGTCACCTATAAAAGGAAACTCCACTTAGAAGCTGTAAGATATTTAAAAAAAAAAAGCATAAAATGAGGGAAAGAGATTAAGACAGGTAACTCCCAGAATGAACTTGACATTTAACTGTTTTAATGCTAGAAGGGTTTAGGAAAGTTTAGGGGCCAGAGTGATTGTACAGCAAGTAGGTGCTTGCCTTGCACATAGCCAACCCCGTTCATTCCTGTACCACATATTGTCCTCAGAGCTCTGCCAGGAGTGATCCTTGAGCACAGGGCCAGAAGTAAACCAGGTGTGCCACCCCCCGTACTCCCCCCCACAAAACAAAAAAAACCTAGAATTTAAGATGTATAACTTTAGAACACAGATAACATCAACGAAAATAAATATAGCAACAGTGAAGATAGCAATGCTTGAGACATATGTAATAGCTATGAAAAACATATATAGAATATATAATGCATTCCAAAAATCAATAACAAAAAGACAACCTAGGAACCTGAAAGTTCAGGGATTAAGGTGCATACTTTGCATGTAGTCAATGCTTTTTTGATTCCCAAAATTATGTGGATCCCCAAACATCTCTATGAATGTGATTAATCTCTGGTACTGCAGGGCTCAAGAAACCCTGCTTCCCCAGGCCCCCCTGAACAACACTTGGGAGTGCACCACCTAGTCAGATAATAAAATAAAAGCAAATACAAATGAAATCAAAACAAAGAAATTGGAAATTTCACAAAAGAGAATATCCAACCAACAAGCTTAATAAAAATGTCATCATTTATCATCAACCACAATGAGATAATACCACAAAACCACCACAATGCCTTTCATTCAAAACAAACAAAGAGTTATAAATGTAGGGGACAGCTGGAACCTGAATTCACTGTTAAAGGGTAAATTCACACAACTACTCATGTACACTTTGCTTCAACAATATTGCTCCTAGACACATATGCAAAAAACATACTTACATTCCCTCAAGATACTAATATAAAAACTTTCATTGCAGCTTTAATTATAATATCCAACATTAAAACATAAATATCAATTATCAGAAGAAGAGATAAATGGTGGTGAATTTATACCAATTATACCAAACTATACAACACTGAAGAAGGAATAAAATATTACTCCATTCCATGAAACAAAATGAATGAATCCCACTGACATGATAAAGAAAAAAAGAGAAATACTTAAAGAATTTACACTGCATTATTTCATTTACTTTTTTTTTTTTTAGGAAGGTCAGCAGAAACAAAAATAAACAATGATGACATATGGTCAGAAAAGTACCTTACCAAGGGGCTGGATAATCTGAGCCTAAATAGTTATTTCACAGGTATAATATACGTAGATAAACATTATAGATGTCTGTCGCATGTGAGCGATAACACAGCGGTGGGGCATTTGCCTTGCATGCAGCCAGCCTCCTCTGCCCCTCTTGGAGAGCCCGGCAAAATACCGAGAGTATCTTACCCACACGGCAAAGCCTGGCAAGCTACCCGTGACGTATTCAATATGCCAAACACAGTAACAACGAGTCTCAAAATAGAGACGTTACTGGGTCTGCTTGAGCAAATCGATGAACAACGGGAGGACAGTGACAGTGACAGTACATATACATGCATGTACTGTAAGCATTTGTCTTGTATATAGTATTTTATAAGCTAATTTAAAAGTAACAAAATACAAGTTTATACAGCTAAATGTATGAAACAAAACAAAGAGGGGATGGAACCAAACAGAAGCAGGCAAGTTTAGCTTTTAACAGAAGTTTGGATGCTTCATTTGATATGATGAGGAAAAAAAGGGTATTGAGATATTGTCTGATATTTTTGAAAGTTTGGTGGTTAAAAAAATAAAGTTCTTGAATGGGTTTTTATTTTCTCAATCTCATGAGTTTGGGTCATGAGCAATTAAGAATTATCAACATAAGGCAAACTGGTAAAGAGAGAAGCAATCACAGATACATTAGTATTCCATTGTTATTACCTCAATGTAACCTCATTACATTGTAGGTCAGTATTCCAACATGGACCTCAGAGAGTTTCTTTCCTTATGTTCTCTAGTTTCTGGAAGCAGCTAACATTCTTTAGCTTACTTCAACCAACTTCAACACCAACAGTGCTATCTCCCTGACCCTTCCTCTATGTTCACATCTCCCTTTGGCCCCTCCCTGCCTTCTTCCAGTATCCCAAAGAATTGGGATGTCAAGGATTAAACTTGTGCAAGCACATGGTACCAAAGTTTGAGTTCTCAGGACTGTGCTAATAAGGTAGGAGCTTATAATGCACTGAGGTATCTTCTCTGGCTGACTCTTCTACCACATTGCTTTACACTGGTTTTACAAAAAAAAAAATCCTTATAATCTCATTTAGCGTTCTAAATGTATCGAGGAGCAAGCAATACTGTTCTTAACTGTAAACTGCCCATAGCTTATACCTTGTCACAGGTCCTAGGGATGATGAAAACACGGTTAACTTTGAGAACAAGAGTAAGTAGTATTTTATTAAGGGTCAGGATTATTTTATTAAACATAATAGGATACCAACACACTAAATTAAGAGTGTGATTCCCAGCCCGTAAGCAAGGGTATCATCTGGAAATTAGTTTAAAACAAAAATTCTTGGGTGAATCTCATGATTTACGTAATTAAATATTTTAAGAGTATATTGTACAGCAATCTTTTATCAAGTCCTCCAGGGTGAATTAAAAGCTAAACAACATTCATGATGGAGTATTTTATTTCTCTCAAGATGGCTGATGGCCACTTCCAGTCTTCAGCAGTCATCCTCATCTGAATATTTACTACTGTTTGCTATATAACATCAAAATCCACATGTGCAGTAAAAAAAAGTTTAAAAGTTCTGGAATAAAGAATTTTTACTTAGTCCAGGAAAGAGCATTGAGTTTTATTCTTTATTCATACCTTTCTATTTTTAAAAACTGAGTCATTAATGTAGAGAAACAATTTCGTTGAGGGAAACTTATGTACATTATCAAATAATATAAAAGGGGAATAAAATGAGCAGATGCTTAAAACTAGTTGTACCACATAATACTGGATTAAAAACCATAATCTTCCCCCAAAATTCTTTATGATAAAATCTTTTATGATAAAATTCCTAATCGGTAATACTGGTAATGACTTCCAATAATTCTTCACTACATAAAGATCTCTTTATATAATACAGAGTTAGAATATACTATCTGCAGGTATTCAAAATGACTTTGTCCAACAGGCACACAAAAAAAATCCTGAAATACCAACCAAACTAACAATGACAAAGAGATAAATGATCTCTTACTATGTGCTGGGCACAATTCTGATTACATATATTAACTCAGTTAATAGTACAACACCCTATGACAACTTAAGTGTCTCATTTTATAGAGAAATTGAGAAATCAAGAAATTAAGGAAACATAATCACACTATGATTATATAGTAAATAAAGAACTGAAATGAAGCAGTTGGTCTAACACCCACCAGTTCAGACTACATTGCCTCTTCATTAAAATGAAAGAAAATTGTTAGAAACTCATGAAAAAGAGTTTGACTAGTATTAAAAATAGGTAAAAAGTTGGAGTAAAATGAATTCTTGAAGCTGAAAAGAACTAGATTTGTCTATTCTTAGGAATTCTGGGGAATAGGGATGCAGCAATAAGACTGTAATTTAGAAGAGACTACCAAATTATCCTTACATTGATATTTTTAAAATATAGTCACACTCTGGAAAGAAAGATGGCGGCCGCACGGGAGCCTTGTGGAAAGCGGGTTTGAGCCGGGCTCGGGGAAGCGGCGGGGACCTCATGGGAAGGGGGGCTTTGTGGGCCGTCCCCCACGCCCCACCGAGGTCGCCAGCTGCCCCCCACGAGCGGCTCTCCGGCACGGCCACGGCCCCGGAGGCACAAGGACTTAGCACAGAGAACCAGCCGCTTGGAGCAGAAAAGCAAATGGACTTGTGTTGATCCGCGCCACCAAGCCTGCCCAGAGGGGGAAGGGCGTTGACCGGCCCGCCCGCTCCTCTCTGGAAAGAAAGATGGCGGCCGCGCGGGAGCCTTGTGGAAAGCGGGTTTGAGCCGGGCTCGGGGAAGCGGCGGGGACCTCATGGGAAGGGGGGCTTTGTGGGCCGTCCCCCACGCCCCACCGAGGTCGCCAGCTGCCCCCCACGAGCGGCTCTCCGGCACGGCCACGACTCCAGGGCACAGAAATCAATCTCTTAACTAGCTAACTTTTAATAGAAATTCTTCCAGGGTCAATAAGTAAAATAGCAGAAATTCAAAACCGCGCGGCCGCAATAGCGGCCATCATTTTATTCTTAAACCAAGTTGTAGAAAGCAAATCATTTCACAACGCTGTTTCAGCATGTCTGATGGGGGGGGGGGGGGAAGGGGGGGTCGTAAACTCTAAACAATAATTGTGCATCTTCTATCGAAATAATCTATCTAGTCAAAGTAGATAGAGTATTAACTAGAACTCATCTGCCTCATAAGAATTGGGAGGGGTGGGAGGTGGGGGTCTATTGGGGTTCGGGGTTAAAAATGAGTATTGGTAAAGGGAAATGTGTTCGGTATCTACATGACTGAGACCTAAACCCGAAAGCTCTGTAACTTTTCCCACAGTGATTCAATAAATAAATTATAAAAAAAAAATAAATAAAATATAGTCACAAAGAAAACATCCAACTGATTGCTCAGGTGTTTGAAAAGAGAAAGCATTTTGTTTTGGGGGGTTGGTGGGGGTGGGTAGGGGGAATGAGGCAGGGTTGTGAAGTGGTGTGTGTTAAGTATTTGTGTTAACTGAGATTATTGGTTTACAGAAACTTCCTCATTTTAAACTATAAGCATCCAAGCAAAAAAGTGACTGGTTTCTTTTTTTGTTGCTGTTTTCAATAATAGGGGGTGTTAATGAACTCACCACCATTAAAAAAAAAGAACTCATAAAAAACAATGAGAAGAAATGTGAAACAGAAGTGAAATCTTAACACTTTAAGACAGCTAAACTTACCTTTACTTGGATGAGAAACAACTGTAGACTTAATGACATTCCTAAGACTTCTGTGATTTCTCAAATTCAAAAATACCTATAAAATAATTTTCCCCTTGTAATGAAAATTATATAACATTACTGAAAGATTTTCGACCCTGAATACAAGTAACTGTGACAAGCAGAGAATAAAAACCCATTACACAAGATGCTGAGTGGTCGTATAGTACCCTGTTCAATAGCTAAATAATTCACTCTTATACAGCAGCCTCTTCATCAAAGTAATGTAAATTCTGGTTTTATCAAAATCACCCTTGGAACTGTTTACAAATTGTTCAAACCTATGATACTAAATCTGCTGTAAGACTTGCGCAGAATGTACTTTTTTGTTATTCTTTAGACTGAAAATTTAAGGAGTTCAGACTTCCATAATCTATGAAGATATAATGTAAACCATCCAATCCTAAAGAAAATAAAATTGCCATTACTTGAAGATTCAAAAACAAAAAATGTAAACTGCCTTTATCTGACTACAGCATCAAAAATAATCCAAATAAACCTCATTTAATATACAAATTTCCAGACTTCCACCATTTACTAATTAATGTAAATGGGAGCAAGGCTGTAGAATCTATAGTTTAAATAAACTCCCAGGAAAGAAGTCCAGTAAAGAACTTTGTACTGTCATTTGAGACCACTGAGATCTACTCTTTATTTTCAGAAATGACAAAATGTAACCACTTGTTACTTTTAATCTGAATGTGAACGCCAAGATAATCTCATTTTTTAAAATGAATGTTTTCTATAATATCCAAAAATAAATTTTATGTTTATAAAACATCAGTACTATACTTTTAATACACCAAAGTACCAGCTTCCTGGCAATGAAATACCAAAACCACCCCATTCATCCACCAGTAATCCTCTAAAGGCTATATGATCCATCTATTTCTAAACAATATACAAGTTGTACAAGCAAAAGTTGAAGGATATTCATTCAAAGGAAAGAAATATCATTTAGCATTACCACACACAGCTGTCTCTATGCAAGTCTACATTTTATGAAGTATGGATCTTTAGAGAAACATTAAGCTTCAAAATTATCAAATAGAAAAAAAAGTTTATTAACTCGTAAATGATTACAAATGAACATTGTTTCAAAATTACCAATAGGAAAAATAGTTTAACACTTAAATGATTAAAAATTGTTATGGTCATCTTGCTCTTTTGTTATACCTAACATTCATTTTTTTTTGTTTCTGCTCATTTTTCTCCCCCTATATCCCTTTCTCTTATTTCCAGAAATAGTCCCTTAATTCTTAACATCATCTTGAGCCACCTATACAATAAATTAAACCAACAGGTTAGCTAGTAAAGCTGAGGGAAATTTCTCATGTTCCACTACGGCATGAAATTCAAGACACTTAGAATGATTCAATAAAGAGTATAACTGAAATGAGCTTATATATGTAAAATGATTTTAATTTAAGATTAGCATATTTGGGATTTTCAGAAGGAAACTGCCATTTCTAAATAAAATAGGCTTATAATGGAGAGTAAAAGTATCTCAAGAGTTACTTAGCAAATAGATAAGGAAGAAAGAAAAACTGTGACCATGTTTAATAAAAGATTTGTGATAACTTTCATTTTAAAATGAAAAACACAAAAATAAAGTAATACTTAAAAAATTAAATAATACTGTTGACTATCATAGAAAATTGCTCCCCACACTAGACCATCCAGCAAAATACACACGAAATTACACATGAATCAGCTATTTCCCAATTAAAATATAAGTAGTAATGAGAATAAGAAAATATTTTAGTCATTTATTTCATAGACATATTTTATATGATAGTATAACTATTTAAAAGCTTTTCAAAGAGTAAAAATGCAGAGGAAGAGAAAAAGTGCTACTGTATAAAGCCCTGTAGAAATACTGCTAAAACTTTCACATTTATTACTACAGTATAGCTACAAATGAATACATTTTCTAAACAATACCTTAGAACCAATTAAACCAAGATACATTAAGAATAACAAGTTTGCTCTGTAGGTTTGACCAAAGGACTCTATGTAAGTTTGTTACATTTACTGATATTTCTAAAAAGGTCTGATACAGAGAAGAATAATGTGTACTATATGTAAACAGAGGCTACAAGTAAATCACTATATCATGCTAAAGGAAAAATATATTTTAATTATTCCTATAATTTCAAAAAAGTTAGTCACCTATATATCTAGTAAAGATTTTCAAAAGTACTGAGATGAGGGTTTTTCCTATTTTTTAAGTATAATGCTTCTAAGTAAAAGGACATATGATGAAATCAAGTTCTATGAATAAATATTTTAAAAGTAAGTACTCTGGAATCATAATACTGACAACACTAATTATCTTTTCTAGTCTTGGCAGTTATGTTGCATACTGTTTGGGTGACTGATGGGATAATTTCACTTCATTTTCTCTCAGTTTATTCTGGACTGTGTAAGAGAAGAATATTAAAACAATTAACACCTCTAAACAAAGTCCCTATAAAGTTTTAAGTTGAAATACAATGCCTTAAAAATCTCAATTAATACATAATTTTATACCAAATAATTAAATCCCAATTTTCTAAATAAAAAATTTAACAAGGAAGTCCTGATTTTAAAAAATAAGTCATCCAGTATTAATGTTAACCATTTCAGGGCTCAGATATTAAGACTACACACTCCCACAGCTCTGTTCATCAGTCATTTTAATTAATATTACCTTGATTTTTAAAAACTGAACACATTTATGTCCTTAAATACCCTATTCACTAAAAATATTTAATCAGTAAAAACTGAAATGGTCATAAACAGGTAAAATGTATATGAAAATAAGTAACAATTTCTACACCCATCAGCATTTTGATTGAACTATTGATAAAGGCCTTAAAGTCAAAATAACACGTACATTCTTATTATTAATCTCACATATAAATCTCTTACCAACAGCAATACTTTATGGTATTAAACTGAATAAAGTATTTAAAAATAGTATCTAATTTTCTATTAAACATTTTAATAATTTTAACTCACACTGTATTGTATAATTTAACTTGTTACATGTATGCATGTGGCTCATAAGGATACATATTGTAAATAATTAATAAAAATAATATTCTTTGCCTTTGATCACCTGCATTTTTTTGTTGTTGTTTATAAAATTAATCACAGCAGAATAGAAAATGCTTTGAGCTTCATGAATGACATCCAAGAGATGGGAAAGGATTAGATCTCAGTTGCTGCCAGTTATAGCGCCAGGTGGCTTTTTCTGCAGTGAAGGTGTTACCGATAATCCCATTACACTGGTACTAAATCTTGCAGACATCAAAATTATCACCAAGGTTCCTTTTCATCCCATCCTTTCCAAGTGACTGGAAGTCGCTTCACCTGAAAGAAGTCAAATCCACATGCAGCTGCTGTTTTAGCAGACAGCAAACTCCCTGAGAATGCCAGTCGTGATTCAATTTTGCTGTGCTGGTGGCCCCCTATTCCCTGTCCAATAATACATCTGTTAAAAAATCCTATAGCTACAAATCAAGTTTAATCCTACCAGGGACCTCATGTTGGTCTTGTCTTCCAAAAAGGCAGCAGGTTCTGCTGTCTATCTCTGCTAGTGTCTGGGGAATACCCTTTAAATCCCAGCCCTACTTAGAAGAATAAGCTAAGGATCACAAAACATGACCTCAAAAACCCTGATATGACTATATTCTGACCCAGAGGCATTCATTCTAGGTGAAGATTAGAACTTTGCATAATAAGATTACACAGCAAGTGAATGATATCAAGGGACTATCCATATGCAGCCGCCTGGTTTTCTATAGACAGCCTGTGCTCTGCAATATGCAGTGCAGACGAAAAAGAGCTTGGTCTTTCTAGCTGAAATAAAATAGATTCACATAAATTAGTTGGCCATTTCCAGATTCCTAAATCCCCTATTACATCTTTTATTGACAGCTCCTGTGAGGATAGCACAAATGTTATTCCTTTTTATTCTGTGCTTCTATAACAATCATGCTCTATAATTGAAATGTACATAGATTATGTCTCAAAATTAACATCTTGTTTGCTGTAATCTTGGATTACAATTGACTGTGTACATAATAAAATTAGGAAATCAATGGGTGGACTTATCATTTCCAAGTAACTAGAGGTATTGTTTAAGGAATAGTTTAACATTTTGTGCCAACACTTTAGATGCAGAAGTCATAGACAGAAGTCAATAAAAATTAAAATGAGTAAAAGAATACAACAGGCACTAGCCCATATCTGAAAAACTCAGAGTCTCATGAACGTGATTTTTTTCCCCCTCTAAACTATACTTGAGCAAGGTCAATTATACCCAAGATGATCTCTACTTTCAATCAAATAGCTACTACAGCAGTTTTTTATACAAACACTTCCATCAATTCAAAATATCTGTACAGACTTAAATGAATAGCAATTCAAGGTTTTACATTCCCATTGTATATTTTAAGTACTTAGCCTTCTTATATTTCAATAGTGTTTTAAGAATGTATAGAATCCTAGAGACACAAGAGAAACAACACTCCATATATAGATTTTTCCAAAAACCTTGGGCTATATTAGTTCTAAGCAAAGTATTCTGAAGTTATATTCATTCACATAACACCCCTCAAAGAAAATATAAGAATTATAGAGGAGTTCTCAGAATTATTTAGAAAAAAGAATGGGATTTCTGTAATATAACAAGCTTGACGGTATACATGAAGTATGAGTTATTTCACAATTTTGTTTGCCTGCAATTGTTGAGGAACATACCACATTCATTACATTAGTGATCATCTCCTTATGATCATTTAGGAGTCAGGTGACAAAATTTTAATTTGTAATCAGTCAGACATATACCAATTATCAGTGATAGTGTTATAAGAAAAATGACAATTTCTACTGCACCAACAGGAATCTTCTGTGCCTTAATCAGGATATTATTAGAAAAATAAGAGAAGAAAAAAATCACACACTTCTAATGTAATTTTTACATATAGTACTTTAGGGCTGCATTGTCCAGTAAGATAGTTCTAGTGATATGTGACTTTTGGGCACTTG